AAAGCCAAATAAGGACAAGCAAAGGCTATTTACTTGGAGCTTCTATAGCAAGGGATTTGGGACACCATCATTTCTGTTTAACAGATACTCAAAGACAAGCAGAGGAATGGAAAGCTTTATACTGGAAAAAGGGAATTCAGGTATGCCCTGATTGGAGGTTGTTGGCATGGGGGAGCTGTTAGCAGCAGCCCAGAAGTGGGGTATCCTATGTAATTGGTTGTAGGGGGCGGGTGTATTTGGCTTTCCCTGGTTGGGGCAAAAATTAGGGAGGCTGTCAGTGATCAATCAAGTGCTGGCCATTTTGGGCTGATAACTACAGGAGTTGTTAGGCTGTCTGGGATGGCTGCAGCAGACGGTGAGTTGAGGTGGAGTAACATTTTACAGGTCACTGAGGGAAAAGGACAGCAGCTCAGCCCAAATCTCATTCAACCATCAAGAGGATGGAAAGATATTTGTGAATATGCACAGAATCACAAATATGTTACCCATGCACAGCCTCTGAGGGATCACTTAAGAGTGAGCACTACCAAACAACAAAACAATCAGATCAAGACAGGGAAGATGAAGAGAAGGGGAATTTGTGATGAATAATTTATATAGTATAATTTATATAGTAATGTAAGTGAATAATGACAATAAAACTGGGAATTACAGCCCAAGTGTTAACTTAAGGATTCCTAAAATAGAAGAGCCATACTGCAAAGGAAAAGCAAGTATTTATTGAAATGGAACAAAGTACCAACCTATCTCAGTGAAACCGAGGAACTAGGTAAGGATGGAGGGGGCAGACATCAATATATTTTCAAGGTCTCAACTAGAAGTGAAGGATGTGGAAGTAAAAATATTCTATGAGTCTCATTTATTGAGGTATGATACAGAGGCAATGGGGGACTAGAGAGTCCAGAAGCGAGTAAAGGGCTGAAACTTGTCCTCACATACTGTTAAAGAAAAAGTGATAGTGAATGTCAGAAAAGGGAAGGCAATCATCAGTTAAACTGAAAAGAAGGTAAGCCTTAATACACTTTTCACATTAGTTAAATTGAAAAGAAAATGGTACAGGGCATGACAGAAAAACATAATGGCAGAACTCAGTAGGAATTAGCAATAAAAACATTATTTTGGGAATGAAGACTCAACTAGAAGGAAACCAGGAGCAAATAAAAGTGTCAGATAATGCCTTAAGAGAAATAGGGTGAAAAGAAAATTAAAAATGTGAAAAAAGAAAAAGATTTTGAGGGAAGGTGACTAATATTAAAATAAAGAAGATCTAACATAAAGACAATAGTAGTTTCTGAGGAAAGAAACCAAAGGAATAGAGCAAAAAGAAAAATTGTAATTAAAGATATTATTGAAAAAATTGAAACGATCTATTGAAAGAGCACGCTCTATACCTAAGAATATTGACCCAGAATGACCAACACCAGCACATAGTCTAATTACTTGATGTTAAAGGGAAAAAAATTGGGGGGCATCTAGGCAAAAAGATGAGGTGACCTATAAGGAAAAGAAAATTAGACTCTCATGAGCTATTTTTCAGCAATGCTTTAGGTCATAAGAAAATGGAGCATCACTTCAGATTCTCAAGAAAAGTGAGTCAAGATTATTATATTTAACAAAACTGATTTTCAAAAATAAAAGGCACAAGATGTTTCCAACATTCAAGAACATTCAAAATTATGTTTTCCAGGAGCCCCTTCCTGAGAAACCTATTAAAGAACTAGCTTTAGCCAACTAAAATGACTAAGAGGTCTCAATATAAGAGCTGATGGTGAGCATTAAATGTGTACTACTTACAGAACAAGACCAAAGGAGGATTAGGAGGAAGAAAGTATAGTTTGTCACAGCTGTATGTGCTCACAATAGAACAGAGGAAATGGAAGAGAAGTAGTAGGAAAATGTTGAATTCCTTCAGCAATCACATCGGAGATAGTAGTATTAGTATTGCTATTCTGAAGTTGTTGTGTATACAATGTAGGATGAATGAATATGCTGCTTCTATAATCTCCTATGTACTTGTGAACCAGGATTCTGGATGTGGAGGTAAGGAGATACAGATGTAATACAAAAGAGGTTAAGTAAAATCACCTATACTGGAATTTGAAGTATCAGAATGAACTCATGACTTATTTTATCCTGTCTCTCTCTCTATATATATATTTCCTAGTTCTGTCCTATGAAAAGGTCCCAAAATGACCAAGACAGTAGCAATGAACATCCCTGGCACTCAGATTGTTATCTGTAAATGAACTAAAGGAACAAGGGCTTCTTGGAGAAACAGCTGATTCTGGGTCTAGGCTAGGAAACACACAAGATGACTCTAGAATAATTTTGTCACACAGCACTAGCAACATGTGGAACAAATGTAGAGTAAGGACTGATGCTCAGAAAACAGCAGAATATATGCAATCACCTATGCTCTTTTTTTATTTCTATAGCAAGGCATATTTGAGCTGGGCACATGGGACACAGAGTGGAAAATGCACCAGGAAAAGGACCCCAGGATGACTCTCTCTGCATATTTGTAGGGAAATTGTGAGAGGTTAGAGAACAGCTTTTATATCTGATTATATAAAAGTGGGAGTTTCCTAGCCAGGGAAATGGCTTTAATAGGCAAGAGTTTAGTGAGAGAACTCATCTATCTAGTGGTGTGGACATCTAAGCTAGAGCAGTGCTACCCAAATTTTAATGTGCAAAAATTACTAGATGGATTTTGATAATATGACAGTTTTGACTCAGTAAGTAGGGGCTGGGACCTAAGGTTTTGCACAGTAAAACAGAATTAGAATTTCTTAATTCAAACAAGCCTAGCTAACTTCTTGCTGCTAAGCAACTGAGAAGAGAGAATAAGTTTCCAGTACCATGCTTGTTTGTTTTTCCACCGTGCTGTAAGTAAAACCTAAAAATACACAGATTCTTTTATTTTTTTAAATTTTTTTTAAAAATTTTATTTATTTATTTGAGAGACAGTGAGAGAGAGAGAGCGAGCACATGAGAGGGGGGAGGGTCAGAGGGAGAAGCAGACTCCCTGCTGAGCAGGGAGCCCGATGTGCGACTTGATCCTGGGACTCCAGGATCATGACCTGAGCCGAAGGCAGTCGATTAACCAACTGAGCCACCCAGGCGCCCACACAGATTCTTTTAGAGGTTGAGCAGGATTACCCCTGAGCAGTCTGGAAAAGGGACGCCTTGTCATGTCAAAAAGTTTAGTCAAATTGCTGATTACAATAACCAGGAAGGCAGACAACTTCTCTACCTAGCTTGTAGCTCTAGTGGAGGTATATGGGAAGAGACAGTTTGTATGTTTGGTTGCTTCTTTCTGCTTTCAGCAAGGTATTACAAATAAAGCTCAAAGTCAGAGTAAAAAGCAAATAGAACAGCTGGTAATTCTTGGGCTTCGCTAAGTTGAAAAAGCCAACTGCTTATGTACCCCTAAATAGCAGAAGAGATTTTGGGTTTTCTCATAGCTTATTAAGATTTTTTGGCAAACACAAATGGGCAAAAAAACAACAACAGAAAACAAAGATAAACTGAAGCAAAAATCAAATTAATAGAGTTCCCTTCTCACTTAAGCCTATCGTTTCAGATAACCTCAAGACTGTCATCATTAAAAAGAAAGATGTTAAGAAAGGCTTGAGTGTGGAATCCAGGAAATAGGCCACATTTAACAACTATTTCTAGAAACAACTGTGGGCGTGGTTACTGGCACCTGAAACTGTCTGGAAGTAGAGTTTACTGAATATTCAATGAAATTACATTTAAATAAAACAACAAAAACAAAACACTGAAAAACCTGGCCTACAAAAGCTCTCAATCCAAGTCCAAAGGCATTCCTCCAAAGAGGGAATACTCTCCAAAATCCAGTTAACTTACATTCCTAGGGCAAAACTGGGGCCCAGAGTACAATGGACAATGGAGATCCTCTCAAAGAGCAGAATGAGGGTCTAACCAAGGAACTTAGTCCCTACAAGGTATTGAGTATTTCTAATTCCTGCCCAGGGTTCCATCATTGCTATGGAGAAGTAACTGCTATGTGTTTCACATTCTAATTTTTTTGAGTTTTAACTGTGGTTATCCTGTTCCTGTTCCACAGTTGTTTTGTATTACATGTACAGGCATGAGCAGATAATTTGTTTTACAGTGTATATAACTCTGGGCCATGAAAAGACATATCCCAATCAGATGGAGAGGGCTGTGCATCATCAGACATCCTGCTTTTTGAGCTGGTATAGAAACGAACAGGGAATTGATCTCTCTTCTTTAGGAGTAAGAGTATTCTACTGTAAGAAGGATACACGCAGATATTTAGGTGATCAGTGGGACAGATTATAGTAGAGACTACTGACTGTCCCTTTAAACCCATCCTTTTCTTTTTCTTAGGCAAAGGGCTGCTGGACTGGAAACCAAATTTCCAGCCTCACTGTTGCTAGGCCTGGTCATGTGACTAAGTTCTTGCCAACGGATTGGTATCAAAATTGATGTAAGCAATCTCCACATTACTTTCTTAAAGAATTTACTTGTTCTAGTCTTCTCTTCTTTCCCCTTTCCAATAGAGGGAACATTCTATTTATCACACACCATGAAGATAAAATTCAAGTCTGATATCCTTTGTAGGCAAGGCTGTAGAAAATGGCACTTCTACATATTGTTGGTAGGAACTTCTTTACTGCAGCACTGGTTGATTGATTAAAAACAATTTAAGTGTCTGGTTATAAAGATTAAATAAACTATGACCATCCCCTCATTATATGCAATACTCTCCAGTTTAAAAAAAAAATGATGAGGAAGCTCTCTGGATATACATGGTAAGATCTACCAAAAAAAGTGAAGAAAATCAAGGGGAATAATGATATGGTGTGTTATCTTCTATTAAAAAAAAGAAAGTAATAATTTAATTTATGTGCAGAAAGTAATTCCATAAGGATACATGAGTAATGTATACAATTACATATAAAGATAGGTGACCATATAATTTATCATCCAGGTGGAACAGTTTCTAGAGTGAAAGGGGGTGTTGTTAATAATCACTCCAGGACAACAGACGGAAAATGGCATCATCCTGGACAAACTGGGATGCATGATCAACCTATATAAAGGGTACAAAGTTAGAGGAGAAATATGTACATTTTTACTGTATTTTACAACAGTACCAGTCTGTGGTGAATTGGACATAAAAGCAATTCGTTTTTAACACACGAAGTTTAAGGACTGTCTTAAAGAACTAGGAACAGTAAATCACGTGAGACAAGGAACTTAATTAATGACGACGCGGCAATTTCGGGTGCCCGGCACTTACTGGAGTTGCACAAGCAACACACGCCTTCGACTTCATCCGCCAATCCTAAGTGGGAGCGCGCGAGCCTGAGCCTGTGGGAGAATCCTGGGCGGGCCTCGGACGTGAGTGGAGCTTCGCGTCACTCAACTCTGGGGACGGATTTTGCGCAGGCTCTCGCACCCGGCGCTCTGGCCCACACAGTCGGTACTCTATGGCATCTCGGGTTCCCTCTAGCTGCAGTCTGGAGGACTACACTCGTTTTCTTTTCGGCTGTGCGAGGCCCGGCAGCCTCTGCTGAGCTGGAAGAAAGATGGCGGCAGCCGTGCGGCAGGATTTGGCCCAGCTCATGAATTCGAGTGGCTCTCATAAAGATCTTGCGGGCAAGTGAGTATTTCTCAGGGGCCTGGGAGGTCGGGAGGGAAGCCATAGACCTGTTCTTGTGTTGACGGCGGCTTTGGGATGTGATACAGCCTGACGACCAAGGGGGCGGGCCTGAGGTCGTTTGTAGACGCAAAAATTGGGAGCCGCGGAAAGCCGGTGCAGGGAACCCTGGGGGAGGGGTGTCAGACTTGGGGTGACTATCAACTTGTTCTGTCTTTGATAGCATCTTTACCTGTTAAGATTCTGGAATCATGGTCTGAGGGACGACTGCTCCCACGGCCTTCTTTTTTTTCCCTGGTGTCTCTTTCCATCCGTGGCTGGCTTCTCACACCGAATTCTGGTCTCTCTTTGGGCCTTTTTTTTTTTTTTTTTTTGATTGAGGGAAATGTATATTCTGGGACCTCGATGCAGGGTTTTCTGGGAGATGGCTTCTAGAGGCTGACGGGGGTGAGGAGGTATGGCCGCTATCATGTGTTCAGAACCACCTGGACCATCTTCTGTGAGACCTTGTGTTTTGGGTTCTCTCTCCGCCACCAACTCTGAAGAGGGGCACATAAGCGGAACGCCCTCACAACGTGAGTCCGGATGTCTAGATTAGTGATATTTGTAGGAATCTGAATTGTTTAGGAATTTTGCGGAATTTATGTTGAAGGGTTAGATCCACTCCACGTTAAAATTTGTGACATATGCCTGTCATGCAAGCAGTTACAATCGTAGGTAGGTAGGTAGATAATTGTCCGTTTTCTTTTTGTAGATTATACAGAACATTATACAGTTCTTTTGTAATGAACTTGTATTCTGTTTAAAGTATGCGTCTTAAGATGATGGTAATATTTACATCCTGACAGCTGAGATCATGTTCGTCTACATAATGGGATACACCTGCTCTAACCTGGCCATTGAAACCTTGGCTGTGTTTTATGAAAACTTTGCTATCTTTTCTCTGGTGGCACATGTAATCTAGTTTTATCAGTGGGAAATCTAGCTGTGTATCTTGGATTTAGCTACTATGTATTGCGGTTTCCTTCTCATGAAAATGGGGATAATAGGACTTATTCTTGTCTGAGGACAAAATGAGTATATGTGTGTATATACATTTACATCACACATGTTACTAGAACGGTACTTGACATTTAGTGCCACAAAATTGTCTTTGTTACTATTATTATTATAAAGCAGTTAGTAAGTACATATAATGACTTATTCCATGGGTTGTAAATAAGGTGAATGTGTCTTCTACTCCATAGAGTACCGATTGTCTTCATTCATGGTTTAATCCTTTCTGCATGTAATTTTTAGATTTGGATGAAAGTAAAATGATCATATATTTTCCCCCATGCTCAGCTTATATTCCCCCCCACGCTTTGCTTTTTTGTTTTGTTGAAGAAAATGAAGTACATTCTTTATCAGAAGAGATATAGTTTTTCAAGTGTTCGCAGAATTCTGAAACTTAAGCTAAGAATTTACTTCCTCAGCTGTGAATTGCAGGTAAACAATAGTACCTATCTTATAGGGTACTTTAGTTATGTATTACTCTGTTACAAACCAAAAACTTAGTGGTGTAAAACAACTATTATTTTTCAGGATTCTTTGGGTTGACTGGACTGTTCTGGTCTAAGCCGGGCTTACTCATGCAGGTGCAGAGTCAGCTGGCAGCTCATTTGGGGCTGGTGGAGCTAAAATGGGCTCACATATACATCAGGCTGCTGGCTGATTCTGTCTCTCCACATGGTCTCTCATTCAGTAGTTCCTTACAGGGCCATAGAAGTGTTCCAAAGGGTGAGAGTGGAAGCTGCCACACTTAAGGCTAGCCGTGGAAATCTCATAATGTCAGTTCTCTAAAACAGGTCGAAGTAAATCACAAGACCAGCCCAGATTCAAGGGGAGGAAAAATGGAGTCTACCTCTTTCTGGGAGGAGTGGCCAAGTTACATTAGAAAGGGGCATGGACAGATGGGGCATGATTCATTCGAGGCCATTATTGTAATAGTCTATCACCTGAGATTGTTGTGCTTGATAACTGATAGCCAGGGCTTTCTGAGGAAAGTCTTGGCTTTGCCTACAGGTACATATCTGGTCCTATCTCTACAGGAATGTGTTGGGATATTTATTTTCATAACAAAACAGTTCTGCCAGCTACATGTCTATGAGGAAAGCACTCTTGAAATATATCAGTAGTTTTAGGATTTATGTTAGGAGTTGAGTGACAAAGCAGTCCATATAAAGGGATGGCAGAGTAAATTCATTTCTAAAATATTGATACTGTGTGTTTCCAGCAATTAGAATATTTATAACAGAGCAGTCATTTAATAAGTGTTAGTTGAATCAATGAATAGCTAGAAAGGTGCAGAGCTTATATTTGAACCCAGGTTTTTCTACTCTATAAAGCTTATTTTTAACCTATCAGCCTGCATTTCTTGCCCAAACTTCAATTAGAAATGCTTTCTCATAACTGTGAATTAACACAATAATCTAAAGTTGACGTAAGAAATTGGCCGTATGAGGTGCATTTTTGCAAATTTTATAAACTACTTTTGTATATATTATGCATTATGATCATTATCTCATACAAAACTTTAGAAGAGAGGAGAGCCTTGAAGAGGGACCATTTGACTAGGTAGCTGTTACGATAGCCTGTCTTAATTTCTTGGCTAAAACGTACTCAGTTCTTTGAAACTCAGTTGAGATATTATTTCTTCCAAAAAGCCTTTTCTGAACAGCCACCAACACACACTCATAACTACCCACACACACAGGACCTGGTTTGTTGCTCTTATGCCCAGTGGCAGATTATATTTACCTCCACCATAGCACTTAATTGTTTTGTCTGTTTACTTGTCTACTTTTCCAATTAGAATGTGATCTCTTTGAGGGCAGGTATGATGTTATGGATTATAGGTCTTTGTTGAGTTATTTCTATAGAAATAAGACCTTTTTTTTTTTTTGTCTTCCCACTTCTCAATACAGAAGGTACCCAGAAGAGGATAGCAGGCGTTTGGAGTCTAAACATTTCATTTTACAAGAAGCTGTTAGCATGGAGAAAGGAGAGTAATGGGAGACGTTTTAGCTCTCTTTGACTATTAGAAAGGCTGTTTTGCAGGGGCACATGGGTGGCTCAGACCTCAGCCTTAAACTCAGGTCATAATCTCAGGATCCTCCCTTCTCAGTGGGGAGCCAGCTTCTCCCTCTCCCGCTCCCCCTGCTTGTGCTCTCTCTCTTTCTCTGTCAAATAAATAAATAAAATCTTAAAAAAGAAAGGCTGTTTTGCAGAAAAGAAAATAGACTGCTCTGCCTTACAGAGATGGACTTTGGATTAGAACTTTCTAGTAATAGAATGGAATAGAACTGTCAAAAAATGGAGGACACATACACAGCAGAGGATAAGACTATATAATCTCAAGGGCCCCTTATAACTCAGATTCTCTGGTTCTCTGTTATTCCCACACACAACAGTTTTAGTGGTTCCCATCTCAAGAGAGAAGTTCCCTAACATCTGGTGTTTACCATGTGCCAAGCACATCTTTATTTACATTTTTAATCCTTAATGAGTAAAATTTACATTACATATGAGAAAACTGAAGTACAGAGGTGAAATACTTTGCTTGAGGTCACATATCTTGTGGCAAGGCCATAATACAACCTATCTGCTTGGCTCATAGCCCTTAATTCTAAACACATCTACCTTTTGGCCTTATATTATCTTCCCCCAACTAGATTACATTTCAGATAGTGATTTCTTTTTTTTTTTTTTTTGGCCTAGAATACCTGTCTTCCTCCACTCTTTCCCACTTAACACTACATTGAAATATTTAAAATACTTAAAGATCGAGCTCATTTAGGAAATTATTTCTTTTTTTAACATTTTAAATTTTAATTAAAATTAAAATTTGCTGAGAAATCAGTTGTTAATCTTACCGAGATTCTCTTGCATATTATCATTTTCTTTAAAAAATTTTTTTTATTTAAATTCAATTTATTTAACATATAGTATATTATTAGTTTCAGGGGTAGAATTCAGTCATTCATCAGTTCCGTATAACACCCCGTGCTCATGCCATCAAGTACCCTCTTTACTACCCATCATCCAATTACCCCATCCTCCCCACCCACCTCCCCTCCAGCAACCCTCAGTTTGTTTCTTATAGTTAGGAGTCTCATGGTTTGCCTCCTTCTCTATTTTTATCTTATTTTTCCTTCCCTTCCCCTATGTTCATCTGTTTTGTTTCTTAAATTCCAGATATTAGTGAAATCATATATTTGTCTTTCTCTGACCAACTTAACTTCGCTTAACAAAGTACACTCTAGTTCCATCCATGTAGTCGCAAATGGCAAGATTTCATTCTTTTTGACGACTGAGTAATATTCCGTTTTGTGTGTTTGTGTGTGTGTGTGTGTGTGTGTGTGTGTGTGTATATACACCACATCTTCTTTATCCATTCATCTGCTGATGGACATCTGGGTTCTTTCCATAGTTTGGCTATTGTGGACATTGCTGTTATAAACATTGGCGTGCGTGTGCCCTTCTGAGTCACTATTTTTGTATCCTTTGGGTAAATAAATACCTAACTAGTGCAATTGTTGAGTCCTGGAGTAGTTCTATTTTTGACTTTTTGAGGAAACGCCATACTGTTTTCCAGATTGGCTGCACTAGTTTGCATTCCCACCAACAGTCATTCTGAGTGGTGTGAAGTGGTATCTCATTGTGGTTTTGATTTGTAAGGAAATTACAAATGGTTTAATTTTCTGAAACTTCTTTGTGACATGTCTGTGTGGATTTGTTTATTTCTCTGTCAGTTGGCTTTTGCTATGAAATAAACCACTCTAAAACTTAGTGGATTAAAACAACAATGGTTTACTTATAATTCTGTTGGTTGGCTGGGCCCAGCTGGATGGGTCTCTGTTCTGCATGGTCTGGGTTCCACACGTGTCTCCTACATGTGTCTGTAGTCACCTGCAGGTTAGGTAGGCACTGCTGCTTTGCTGTGTTGGTGGGGGCAGTGGAGG